AACTTTAGAGTAAAATAAAGGCCTCATGATTAAACAGCAGCTGTTTCATGTTGGGCAAACACAGTGCAAATCCAAGCACAACAAATGATGTAAAGGATAACAAATAAGAATGATAACACAGAAAAAGACTACTCTGTAATGAGTGTGCATCTCTTTTTCTGAAACTCTTAACTGTAATTGCAGGCACCCTCTTCAGGTAAGGTAGAGTAAGAGTATCCCGTTCTTTACTAGGATAGGACAGGCAGTTGAAACTGATTGATTCTGAAAGAGTCTAAGTCATACAGTGTTCATAAATGTTTATTTACAACATTCATACAACACAGAAATGTCACTTCCAGCAGGATCTGAGCCTTGAGTTGTCTGCGGGAGAAGAGCAGACCACAGCAGGAAAGCTCTTTAAAATCACAGATGCTTCCGACCAAAATACCACAGGCCTTTTTAACCCAGCCCCCCAAACCAAGTTTTTTATTTGTTCGAAAAGGGTTCTTCTCTTCTGATCTTCCCTTTCAGGAGTGTATGAAGGCCATGAATCCTGACGGGCTGTCCCTGGCTCACTGTGCATGAAAACTGGCCCAGCAAGAGACATCATCGGTATGCAGCAAGGCTGTGCCATACGTGACAGTATACGTTAGCCAGGGTCAGAGGAACCAGAGGAATTCTCCACTCCAGGTGCATGCACAGGCCTGGAGCTCTTACAAGCATTAGAAGTGTGAACAATGTCAAAACGTGTTCTCACTGGCCTGTTTGTAGGGCTCTAATCTCAGTAAGTGTCAGACATTTCGATTATGGGATTAGAAGATATTTGCAATAAAATGAAACATGTTTTAGAATACACACTGTGGTGAAATCTCTGAAATGAGGAGTGCAAATGATTAAGAACAAGAGAAAATACAGTTCTGAGCCCCCTGTCCTGTCCCCAAACTCATTTAATTATTTTCTAACAGCTTCATCCAAAACAGGACCGAGGGGGAGCCGGAGCAACTGCAGATTAACTATAACACACTGAATGAATGTTCGGTGTATAAAGTTGCATTGTGGTTCCAAGATTACCAAGACACATCTCAACTGATCCTCCTGTACTAAAGTAGGGCTGCAGAGAACAGCTTGTCTGTAGGGCGCAGGTTGAACTAGGACAATTTTTCTCTGACTGACACAACAGCCATTGGCGAATGGGGACGATTCCTACATCCATCCAGCAGAAGAGCTAACAGCTGGATTTGCAGCACGGGTGGTGTGGCGGGTCTGGGGGGCACTGAGGAGTCTCTTCCGCCATCCGTATCTTCCCTCCATTTCCCATGACCTCTTGTGTTCAACGGAAATTAACCCCACAGACCCAAGCAGTCCAGCTGCCCAGGCAACGAGAAACCAGGCTTTCTGTCCTGTTGTGCATTTCTGTCTTACAATGAAGGTGAATATGTGAATGTTCTAAAGACAATAGTCTTACTCAGCCCATCTTGACATCCTGAACATTGTACTGTCCTTGCAAGAGCCACAAAATGATATCCTAACAGGATATCCTCTGCTATAAAACAGCACTGTTAATGTAAGAAAAAAAGAGCTCAATGGAGAAATTTGTTTTAAAACATTTTAATGCTGTTCTGCCAAAAGAGAGTGATAAGGGATGATGTACAAATAAGTACAAATTACCTACTGAATACCTTCATCATTCACATAAAACAACAGGACTGTAGGCAGAGCATGTAGCAAAACGTAAGTCAAAAAGCTCTGAGTCTCAAACAGTTGTTGCAGAGGAATACACAAGATAGAAAAGAAAGATAAGAGACTATTCGAATGTTACGCAAGTAGGGAACAAAGTCTCTTGTACTGCAGCAGCTGAGCTTGTTTACGATAAACTATAGTCTAAAACTGCATTAACACAACAAACAACAAGGTCATGCTTCTACTCAGCCATTATCCTAAATGAATGCAGATATACTGTAGTAACACTACCGTTTCTTGTGCGGTTGAAGTGGCCATCATTTCACATACGTACATAATATAAAAAACATCCACTTTCACACAGCAGTCACTTAGAACTACAATTCAAGAATATATCTTACTTCTTAGAATTGTGTATTAAAGGAACAGCACTAACTGTATGTACATCAGATACGTTAACCTCAGTATTCATACCAGAAATCAAGTCTCCATTTATGGTAAGAGCCAAGCCCTAGAAGTCACATCTTTTCCTGATGTTTCATCAAACAGCCAGTTAGTTACCTGCCAACACAACACAACAGATGACACCGCCCTTCCTTCACTGTTGGTATGTACACATTTATTGCAAAACCTCCTTCAGGGTGTAAAATGTAATATGTTGGAAGACAAATACCTGAGGAAGTAACACCAGCACCTTATACAAATTCCAGAGCTTGTGTTCCTGACAAGCCCTGCAAAACATTCTTGCCCACTTTGTCTCACGCATAGTCAACTCGGAGCCCTCACAGCATTTCTGTCGTGAGTGGATGTCTTCAGGAAGAAAACCCAGAATTGTTTTAATTCCATAGATAGCTCTCATTCATTTACCACATAGCTGAATTACACACATTTCTCTAAACACCACTATTCCACCACATCCCAGGTGTTACAATTAACTAGTTTGCAAGACCCAGAGAATGTTGTTTGATGAATCGAACTACAATCACTACATTCAAAAGCTAGAAAACCACCTCGTTAGAGTCTGCCTGACTACATATCGAAATAAAAAAATAGCAGTAACAGGGTTGTAATGAAGAACTACTGGAAAATGATTAAGTGCATCCTCCCAGAGCACAAAACTGTCAATATAATTTTACTTTTTTAAAGCAAGTGGAACTGTTTATAATTAGCTACCGTAAAATAAAATTTGTGTTTAGAAGGTGGGGGATTAAGCTATTAGTCTAGAATAAAAAAATGTCATGATGACTTTTACGATTCACAACTTGCTGGCCCTGGATATCTTAAGCTTGTCGAAAACAAATACTGGGTGCCCTGGTTAAAATATTCATGGCACTATTTGCTGATTTTAGGTATTGTGCAAAAGATGAATCTACTTCCATGAGTCCTGTGGGTTGGTGCTAAGCTGAACCCTGACTCCAGGGTTTGCAGCAGCTGAAGAACAGATCTTGTGCTCCATCACCATCTTCATCGAAGCCCCAGCAAACAGAATTTGAGAACTATAGTCTGCTACTTCTGTGGACTTCCAAGGCTCCATTTCACAAAGTGCACTTATTTAAATTCCTACTGTCTGGGTTAGGGTTAGGGTTAGGGTTAGGGTTACTTGAGGGCAGCTCGTCTGAGCAATGGCTGAGCCCTGCAGCCCAAGCGTCGCGGGTTCGAGCCTTGGTTGCGTCACTAGCTGACTGTGATCAGCAGATATAGACGGTCTTGACAGTGAGGTCAGCTGGCCTGGAAAGTCAGTCAAAGTCAAAGAGCTTCCTTATTCTCGCCAGCGTGCAGTCGGGCTGAAGCAAATATTAGGCAATTAAAAAAAAGAAGAACAGTCTGAACTAACATTTGTAATTTGATATGCAAAGCTTCTCAAATACACACTACTAAAAAAGTATCTGTAACACACTGGGGTTCTGGAAATCTTTGGCATCTACAAACTCTTAGAAAAACAAAGGTCAGTAAATTTTATAATATATTAAAGGTGTTCAAAAAGCGAAATGTGCTATCAGCCTGTTTCAGAGGATGACCATTTTAGACCTCTCACGTCCTGACACTTCTGTCTCTCTAAAAGACACTCCGATTACATCACGCTCGCTCACAGACAATTAGAAACTTCAAGAGCAGTCCACCCTGATGAAGCCTGTCATTATGAGCAACACAGGGTGCCACTACACTCAGTCCCAACCAACACTCAGCGATGCTTGAAACACACGACACTGAACACAAAAGAGTGATCTTTTCTGAGAATTAACTAAAAAGAGCAACGAGTCTGCCCTCACTCATGAGACCTCCAGTAGTACACAAGGGCACTAAAAATAAAAGGACAGCATTACTGTGAGCCACATTTGCAGCAAGTACATCCTCCAACAAAAACACTATTTTATACTATAAAATACATAGAAGATATTCACTTTTAAGAGCAAAAAGTGGAAAAATCCCTTTCCATTCTGTATTATTCATCTAACCAGCACGTGTTATAAAGTCCTTGTTTATAGAATGCGCGCTCACAAACAGGTTACCAGCAGCTGATGTGAAGAAACTCCACTTCACCTTGAGTGACTATTTTTACATAAAAGTTCTGAAGTGGTGTATAATTGTAAGAAAAGCTGCCAGGCTGCTTCACTCTACAACTAGAACAGCAACACAAAATAACTTCTCTGCTGATCTGCCGACAAAGTCTATAGGATTTTTAAAAAAAAACAGTAATAAAAAACCTCCACAATCAACTGCTCAGGTGCATGTCAGCTCAATTTCCTTTACTTACCACAAGTCCTCGCAGGTCTCACAACAGAAACATGCTTTCCATTCCCTCAAGTACCCACACAACATGCATTAACACGACCAGCATTTATTTGACCTGAGCCTTTTCTTCATATTCGTTTAGTGGATTCCGTGCTCGTGAACGAGACCGATAATGAGCTCAGCACCCTTTGACCTTTCCTGGCAGACGAATGCTTACTGGAACACCTCCAGCTGCGGTCCACTGTCAGCCCCTAACCAAAGGAAATGCCAAGGGGTGCGACTCTTTCTTTCTAAACCTAAGCGCATAACAAATGAAGTATATCCAGTTGACAGCTGTTTGCTTTAAAATGCAAGCATGAGCCGTTTTAAAAAATGGCTGCAAACCAACCCTACCGAACCCAAAAGACTTCTTGCCCTGAGCTAGAGAACTGCAGGTCATAAAGATTCAGTGTCTGAGCAACGGACAGGCCTATAAGAAATATCTTCCACGCGCTGAAGCGAGGGAACCGTGAGCAAGGTGCAAAGAGAAAACGAATGAAAAAGGACACAGAAACACAGGGGTTCGATTCACCCGCTCAAAGGTCAAAGGCCTTCAACGAGGCACTTACCAACCGCCGGAGCGTCGTACTCGTCGCCCAGCAGGATCTCGGGGGCGGAGTACGCAAGCGAGCCGCAGCTGGTGGTCAGCTTTTTGCCGGGTTGAAACTTATTACTGAAGCCGAAGTCCGTGAGCTTGACCAGCCCCTGTTTCTCAAAGAAGACCACGTTTTCGGGCTTCAGGTCCCTGTGCACCACGTGCAGCCGGTGGCAGTAAGAGATGGCGTGGACAATCTGGGCAAAGTACTTCTTGGCCACCTCCTCGCTGAGCCCCTCCTCGTGTTTCATGATGTAGTCGAACATGTCGCCGCCGTCGCCCAGCTCCAGGATCAGGTAGAGCTTGGTCTGCGTGTCGATGACCTCGTAGAGCCGCACGATGTTGGGGTGCTGCACCAGCTTCATGCAGCGCACCTCCTGGAAGAGGTGGCCCGTGGCCACCGTGTCCAGCTTGGTCTTGTCGATGACCTTCACGGCCACCTTCTCTCCGGTGAAGACGTGGCGGGCCAGCTTGACCACGGCGAAGTGGCCGCGGCCCAGCGTTTTATCCAGGTCGTACAGCCCGGCGATCTTCCCATCGTACCCCCGCTTGAAGCCTGCCATGGCGGCCCCCGCTGCGAGCGATCGGGCGGAGAGACTGGGGAACTGGTTGTGGGGTCCGAAGTCTCCGGTTTACTTCAGCACTGGCGCCGCCCGCGACGAGCCCATGACGCCAGCGTTTAAACGGCCCTGAAACAAGAGCGAGGAGGGGGACAGAATAAGGCCCATATCCCCCAAGAATACACAAAGCACCGCGCAGGGGTTCTGTACATAAAGCACATTTCCCCTTCGCCCCACGAACGGAAAAACCGCCAGATGAGAAGAGGAAGAATGATACGTGTATTTAAATGTCTTGTCTCTCTCCCATAGATGCATCTTCCATTTTTCAACTCAGTGTTTCCCCCATACATGCCACACAAGGTTATTTCAAACAATAGCAAAGTCATTTCACTTAATGGACAGGCAAGTAACACACAACAGTAATTGGCCACGCTTCCGATCGGACTTCCCCAGCTGGAGGCCTCAAGAGGAAGACAGCAGCGACCACAAATTAGTTAACCCCACTTCAACCAGTTCTGTGCTCATTCTAGAAAATTCTGAGTACCAGCATTAACGCCATTTCTTTCAAGGTTTTCATTCTCTCTATACTGAAAGGAACAAAAAACAAGAAAGAAGCAACGCCAAACCTCACTTAAAAAACAAAACAATGTCGTACACCTTACTGTACAAGAAACAAATCTCTGACATATAATTCTGTTTGTTCAGCTCTTGCACTCCTCACACCTTCAGAGTCAAAATCACGTCCGGAAACAGTCACATTTATGCCAGACGGACACGGTGTCATCGTCTAGGACTCTCCCAACCCAAGGAATTGCACAGGTGCGGACTTGTAAACAGCATGCTACAGCACAGCATGCTGTAGCACAGCACAGCAACTGGGAAACTGAACAGAATCCTGACCGAGTGGGGAAAAAAAATCATCGTGAAGGAATTCAGTCCACCCCACAGCTTTGTGGTTCTGAGCAAAAAAACTCTGCAACTAAGCAACAGATGTCAATGATTTTGTTGCTTTATTTACACCAAGTAAACCTGTACCATTATGACAATGCCTCAGCCCAGGCTGCTACAGGTACACAATTTTATATTCCCAACAAAGAAAAATGATTGCACTGAAATTATACACAAAAATTCTAATTTTAAAATACTGAAAATAGAATCAAAAAAGAGCTATAATAATATAAAAATTGTAACATTAATTTACATAACCTGAAGTGTTCTGCCGCAAGTATGCATTCACACAGAACAAAATAAAAACCATTATGTCAAGGCCTCTTAGAAGAAAAGTACCTTTTCAGACTATCTTAAGATGGATCCTACAATGAGGCTAAATAAAGTTTACAACCCTCAGTGCCGTGATGAGACAGTCAGTTGGCGATTTGCTTTCGATACAAAGTCAGTTTCTGCTTCCTCTTTGACATTTAGTCAGATTATATTTAAATGCAGGTCAACACAATCTACACGCACTCACGTGGCTGCTGGACAGACGAATAGGTGCAGCTTCATTTACATAGCGAGCCATCTTTGAGCTACTTTTCAACATATATTTAAAACCTTCTAACCAGATGAAACATGGAGGTTTACCAACTCTGAGCAGTCAAGCACAGTCGAGCACCTGAATACACTCAGGGAATACAGACAAACCTTTCTGCCCCAGTTTTGCAGGGAATACAGGTCAAAAGCAGCCATGCTGCACGGCAGGCCTCACGAAGGACTGCGCGACGCGCTGACGGGTTTAGATACCCCTTGCAGCCGTTTATCCCAGACCACCGCTGTCAATTCAACAAACGGGTTACCACCGAGCTCGGATTTGGGTGAAAATTGCCACAGTGTTAGAAAAGGTGATTTTTTTTTTTGCAAGACCTCAGTGGTCAACTCCAAAGAGTACAGGAGATACGAGCGGGTGTCACCTGCTTTTCAGTTCTGAAAAAACAGTGCTTTCAAAAACGAACTGAAACAGGCAGGCGTCGAACTTCCCATACAGTTTTTTGCCACAGAAATTAATTGCAAAAACCTACTTTTCACGGTTAAAAAAGGCTCACAAGATAAGATCACTTTATTAGCCATATACAGTTTCTTGCATTAGGAATTTATCTTTTCGCATACCCCAGCTTGCTCTCCATGAGAAACACTGACGGTGAGAGAGAAGCTTGGGGTCAGAGCACAGGGTCAGCTATTGTACAGCGCTCCTGGAGCAGCTGGGGTTAAGGGCCTTGCTCAGGGGCCCAACGGAGTAGGATTCCTCTGCCGGCCGCGGGATTTGAACCAGCAACCTTCCAGCCACAGGCGCCTTCCTTAGCCACAGTGCCACTCCTCCGTTTAACACAGGGTGTTCACCTTGAAGGGCTTGAATCGGCTCAGCTTCTGACTACATCAGTGACCTGCTCAGCTCATGCACACCTACACGGCCTCAGTGCTCTTCGGACTCTGGCTTCCTGTCAGTTTCCCACACAAGACTCCGAACACTGGGAGGCTGCGGTGTTGCTCTCAGCACATATTAGATCTCACAAGTCAGCACTTCCAGGTCCCGTCTTAAGACTTAACTTCTAGACGCTGGCTCTCAATTGTATAATTTATGGTTTTAATTTCTGTATCTCATTTATGTGACCGTTCTATTTCACAGGGCCTGGAGATGACGTATCATGAAAGGCAATATATATGATGCAAAGGTTGTTCCAAGTCAGATGGGCAATAAAAAGGTGATATAGGCAGTCCAACAACATCCACAAAGCTGCTTCCTCATGGCAGCCTGGGTCCTGTTGCAGAAGCAATGTGCAAGACAGAACTACACCCTAGACAGGACACACACAGATATGAGTGCACAGGGACAATTTAAAGATGCTAATCAACGTCGTCAGCATGTCTTTCAGGAGATAAGAGGAACCTAGAGCACTCAGAAACAAAACTACAAGGACATGGAATAGAGCATTGAAACTCCTCACAGAAGCACCGCAGTCTGGAATCAAACATCCTAGTATTGAGCTGAAATCCACACACAAGGTAGTCACAACGTAGGCACAGTCCAGACATTTTTCATGAAGAGGAGAAACACAAGCATTAAGAAAAACTAGAAAGTTTCACTTGTTTGATAAAGATTCTACTTGTAAAGAACATTGATTTAGTCATGTTAGTTACTGCAGGACTCCAGTAACTTGCAAATTTATTATATCACAATTGTTATAACACATTTACCAAAGTTAAGATATCTAGGACAGCATCCCAACTGACACTTTCATGCCACTGTGATAAATTTCTCAAGGCCTAAGTTTTGTTTAAGAAAAGCTCTTTTACCACCTCAAAGAAAAAGAAAAAAGAAGCAAAAATCCCATGCTTTCATATGTCCTATATAAAGTAAAATGTAGGGTATCTTGCAGTTTGGTTTTAGAGAAAAAAGGCGTATCACTCTAAACAAAAAAAAAGTGCAATTCTTAATGGCTAGTTTAATGGTTTGCGCATCCAACACATCAATTATAACAATTTCTCCTGTCCTTGAAAGGATGCGATAGGACTTTCAAAACACATCACATTATCTCTGATTGACCAGCTCAAGCTACATTTGGGTAACATGCATCAGCCTTACAATGTAGCACAGTTGTCTGAATCTGTATTGATTTTCCTGTGTGAGTGAATTAAACAAAGCTATGGACCAGACGTTGCAGTAAAAGCAAGGGAAGGAGGCCCATTACCTAGAAAGTTTAATTCTGTCTTAATAATACAAAAGTACACGACTGAAGTAGTAACTTAATTGCTGCATGACAGGTTTGTTCTACATTGTACATGAAATTCCTCGAAGAAACCTACCAACAATTCCTGCTACAAAATTCTAACAGCTTGTGAAGGGTATGTAAATAATTAAGTCCCGATTCTAGATTGACAAGGAGTCATAGTTCTAGGTGTGGACTCTTGTATTTTAATTTAATTAACTTTCACAAAAACCATTTACATAGGTTGATCAAGTTATTTAGACTAAGAACTGATGACAATAACCAGCTCACACAGCTGTTTACTGTGGTACATTACATCTGGCACCCTTATCTCCCCTGCTACCAATACAACATAAACCTTTAGGCCTAAAATATAAGCTGAGTGAATCAGGAGCTGGCTGCCATCTAACCAGGGGCACTAATTCTTTCGCCCAACAGACATTCAATACAAAACTGTCAAAGCAAAGCACTTCAAACGACCATATAACTCCTGAAAAAGAACACGTCATGCCATTTCACTTTGTTTTTGAGACATACTCTGAATGCAAAACTTGCAAAACTTCCCAGACCAAGTTGAACATTTCACAATCCAGAATACATTGAGAACAGTAATTTTAAGCATAATGTAAAATATCCCTTTTTAGGATATTACAGTTCAACATTTAGAACATTGACTCCAGAAGCTATCATTTTACAGGATCTCCTTGCAAACTAAGTGACATAGTAGGAAACAGGGTTTCATGCAGAAGGGCATGCAACATTCTCCTGCACTTGCAGTCGCCGATGCCGTTGTCAACGTGCTGACATTACAAGCTGCTGAAATGTTGTTGATTTACTTAGCCGTAAAAAGTCATCATGAGCTGAAGAACAAAACTGTATTCCTGAGACAATTCCTTTCCTTACCAAAGAATAAAGCCTTCACAGTACTGAAATTACAACTACTGTAGGCCCTAAATTGCTTAATGACTTGCCTAATTAAAACAAGTTTTACAGCTTTCACAACTCTCTGGCTGCCACTTGTTCAAAGTTGAAAGATTCTACTTACAATTTGTTCTGTCCTGCTGTCGTACAGAACAAACACACTGCACCAACACCGACTCCTCATAAGGAGTGCAGCAGAAAATGTTATTTCCAGTAACAGGTCCAGCACCGTCCCCGTTCTTAGTCTATGCTTGGTATTCACGAGCCCCAAGGACACAGTGTTAAGAACAGGAACACACAAGGAGCCAGCGCACAAAAAACATCTCCTCTCTTCTGCACCCCCCCAGTTTCCTCAGCAGACTCACAGAACAACACTGTTCAGGTTCGACAACCCTACTGACATCCTGAGACGATTCTGTGCAACAATCCCACTGAAGAAACAGGGCTTTTTCAAACTTCTCAATGTTCCCTTAGAATGCCAAGTGTTACCTGTTCTAACACCAAGACATACAATTCACTTAGCCTCTTTAAAACACATCACTTGCACATTAATACATCAGTAATGTAACCTCCTCCTATCACTGAAAGGATGTGGTAACTTTTACTGAGGTGGCAGATATCACTTGGTCAATACGCTGCAACAGAGACTACTGTTCAGGTTCAACAAATATACACCAGGAGGTTATTTCATGCAAGGATGCCACTGAAGAAAACATTACGGTGTTCATTTAGAATGACAAATGACTTCTGCACGAAAGGCAAAACTATTTTGTAGCCCCGGCTTCCTCAAGGCAAGTCCGAACACTGACAACCGGGCCTGCAGGCAGATCAGGGACTGTAAATTCACACACTCTCCAAGATCCTGAAGAGGCACCAGAGCGGGGATGTTGGTAAATTATTCAGAGGGCTGGGCTCTTGCTGTACAGTTCCATTTTGAGATGTGCAGTGGGATGCTAAGACACTATGGGTTTTCAGCATCTACCGCTGTGACGCTATCAGTTACAATATAAAAACACCGAATGCACCCAGACCTCTGTAAAAACGCTTTGCTTGCAGTCCTGCGCGCATTACTCAACACCTGCCGCTTTACTGGGCTCCACGGGCCCCCACGACACTCAAGGCAGCGTGATCCTAACGAGCCCGCAAACCGGTCCTACACGCTCCGAGAGAAATACCAGCCCTCGACAGCCGTCATCACGGGCTCCTACGTTTTGGTCGCGTAGCACGCTAGAGGGGATTTGACGCACGCTTGCCCCGAGTATCTGTTGCACACCCCTCGGCCTCAGCCGGAGCAAGGCTGCGAGGGGTACATCTCACCCCAGCTCTCTCCTGCTCCGCCTCGGCACGGCGAAACGGCCCCCTCTCATTTTCACGACTGCCGGACCACACTGCGCGCCGGGCGTGTGGATCCACCGTGCAACTTTGTCACACTTCCCAGAACAGAGGTGCCCCACGCCGGCTCACCCCGGACCCCCGGTCTTCCGGGCTCCCGGGATCAGCGCTTACTGGCCAAGGGGCACAAGAGCCAGCGGCTCCTGAGCCGGGGAAGCCCGCCCAGCGCTGGTGTCCGGCCGGGTCCGGCTCCCACGACCGAGCACATGGTGCAGCTCAGCCCGCATCTCCTCTCGCCCACAGCACGGAGTGGGTTTCAGGTGCCCGACGGTACTACGGACCACGAATTTCCGAGGCGCCTCATGTCCACTCTAATATCGCAACGGCCACTGAAATCGGGAGTGCTTACTGCTCGTTTAATTTCCTCCAGTTCTAAAGTAACCGACATCGCCTACCTGGCGTGAGCCATTTACGAAGCTTAGAGGTTTTGGTTGGAGGTTTTTAAATTCTCCCCCCCTATTTTTTTTTTTTTTTGGTTGAAGTCGCCAGCTGGATCCCGGGTCCGATTTCGGCAGGTCTGGAGATCAGCTGCACAGCCGTCCTCAAAGACGGAGGCGAACGCAATGATCAGAATTTAAAAATAAAAACCTTTTCGAGCCCGAAAGGAAACACCACTTGGTCGCTGCCCCTCCGGTGTGCCACATCCATAAAAACAACAACAACAACAAAGCTTCACGTTACTTGTGGCTCTTGGAGTTTCGCATCGACACGAACAAAGCAGCCGACGCCGACGCCAGGTGCGCTCCTCCCCGGCCCGGAGGCTCTGGGAAGTACCGCCGGAGCGGCGCCCCTGGCCGTGGGGACGGGGCACAGCCGAGGCCCGGCCCGGCAGCTCCGAGCGGCGGCCGGCTGACAAAGGGCAGCGCAGACCCGCCGCTTCGGGAGCCAGATCAACACTCGGCCAGACGGGGAGGGAGGGAGGTGGTAATAACTCACCCCTTGCTCCAGAAACGCCAACATTGAAGCCTCTTCAGGGACGCGCAGGTGAGGTCTCGGCAGGACCGACGCCGTGTGCGCTCGGACGCGGCGCTGTCGTGCGGCTCCACTGGCAGCGCGGCGCTGGAACTGCGGCGCTCGGCGCAAAGGCCCTCCTCCCAGGCGCCACCGCGGCTGCGCGCCGCTCGCCAGGCGCGTCACCGCCGACGTCGGCCAGCGCAGGCGGGGTCGCCACTCACGCTGCAGGCGGAGCACGGGCAGGGGCGTCTCTCCGCCACTGCAGGGTCTGCGTGCATAAGCGTGCATGTACATGGACAGGCTTACCTGCTCGTGATCCGGGCCAGGCGGCAACCCCCCTCTTGCATGTCGAAGTGCGCACGATGAGCCCGCGTCCCTTGCGTGTTGAAACGGAGGCGAGGCGAGGCAGTTGTCTGGCCCCGGCAGCCTCTCCCGTGCGGCTGTGGAGGCTTAGTTTCCAGGCGGGCTGGGACCAGTGAGGCCCGCCACAGCCTGGGCGAGGCGTGGAGCCGCTTAAGTCCCGAGAGCTGGCCGGGCCGCCCACTCGCGGAGCTGCAGAAACAGAACCCGGACTCGGCACTCGAGTCAATTAAATCTGCACCGTCTCTAATAAAACAGCTGCTAAAGGAAAACCTGGGTGTTCAATGTGTCTTCATTGTGTTGGTTTGCTTTTGCACTAGCAATTGTGACAATAAGACATGGAAAAGTTTGTCCTGCACCTTCTGCTTCTGCCACTCACTTTTGAATGTTGGGGTTCTGTGTCTGTGCTTTGCCAAGTATTGCCATTATTTCTATGTTCAGTATTTTGAATACACGTCCTGCAGTGTGATGGCCCTTTATATTCGAGATCCCTTGTGCAGGAGACAATCATGGCCTCCTAATAATCCCCATCTCTGAACTCGCTTCATCACTCTGCTCTCCTCCCCACTGAGAGCTGATGTGTGGGGAGCGTTCTGGCGCACTATGGCTGCTGTCGCATCATCCAGGTGGGGCTCCACACTGGTGGTGGTGGAGGGGATCCCCATTACCTGGAAAGCGCTTTGAGTGGAGTGTCCAGAAAAGCGCTGTATAAGTGTAAGCAATTATTATTATTATTATTATTATTATTATTATTTGAGCTCGCCTCAAGTGGACCGTTTTCCTTCCTTAACACCAAAGTGAAAATGGGCTGATGGGAAGGAGCTTGTGTGCGCTCACACCCATGACAGTGAAATGTCCACTAGAAGTGGAAGAACTGCTCGTTGGTGTGGCGTGAATGAGCCCTTTACCTGTTCCTTTGCTAACTACTGGATTCTCCACTTCCCCTAGTCGAAGGTTGACATTACTAGGTGACTAAATCAATTTAAAGTCACACATATGTACAAATGCTTATTAATAAAGCCTGGTTTCTCCTTGTATAAAAATGTTTCGCAGACAGAGAGGTTTTGTGACTGTGACGTTCCATTGGTCATTTAAACGCATCATGTCAGTTCACTTAAACTTTTACTGGGGTAATCATCATGTCCAGAATAATTAGATCAATTTAAACTTATAAACAGACTTAATTCAATCACATTGTACCTCATAATAAGGAAGTTGCTGGCTAGCATGTGATAGTACAAGAGATTTCTACAAATTGCCATTCTATTGTTGTTCATTGGATGGTGATAATAAAAAAGGTGGTCACTCAATGTCAACTCAGTTAGAGATTACATTATAAATATAATTTTTAGATCTTCAAAGTCATTCCAAAACAAAGTTCCAAGTACAACTACCCAGTATACTGTACACAGAAAACAGGGGTCTGTCATCCTGGAGGTTAACATCTGGCCTTGTTCTGAACTCCATGCTCCACTACACACAGCAGAAGGAAAGTAAAATCTTGAGGCCAGGATTGTGCTGGATTTTAGTAGCCTTTGTACAGATTGACCAAGATTATGTTTTTTCATACTCAATCTATGTAATTTGAGTAGAGATGATGAAGGCAGTATTTGCAACTGCTTCCTAAAGTGGGTTAAATGATGCACATAGTTGGGAAAAGAATCAATCAGAAAGTCATTGTTTTCACAGAGAGATAAGGAGTCATTCTGAGTGAAACATTAAATCCGTCAAGCAGATCCAACCAAATTTACATAGATAATTTAGGAGCTCTTCATTTTCAAAATATCATTTTTTTCCAGATTATTAGCTGTGTAAGGCATTGCTATGGATTTAAAAACATCTTAAAGAGTAGAAAATGCATCTGAGAATATTTAATGTAGAAGCAATTTTCTCTGCTTTATTTTTAGATTGGATAGAAACTATTCATTTAACACCCTGTTAGTCCATAATACATTGATTACATAAATGGCCACAGGCTTGCCTTCCATGTCCTTTTATATTGTAGTTACTATAGATTATATAGTATTTTAAGTAGTATATTAGTAACTAAGGTATTCCTACACCTGGGTTCTCACAATGTCTCACTGGACATTTAACAGCAAACCCACTCTCTGCATCTTTCCTGTATTCGCAATAGATACCAGTGAATCACATCCCCAACTTTCCATCCTGCTGCCCTTGGCGCTGCTGTGTGACTCATGATTATTTTGGTATCAGGCGTAGCTAAAGGTCTGCTGTCTGAAGCTGAATGTTATCATCACAAGACGATCGCCACAAGAGGAATCTTTCTTCCTTCAGTAACAATATTGTAAAGAGGAGTTTTTCTCAAAACATGTTCATTTATTAACAGAGATCCAATCAAAACCTGTCAGCAGAGCAACAACAAAAGACATGTACTGTATCTGATGTGGTGCAATTCAGTTTCTTCCTACATTAGTAAGGTAAATTTGAACTTGAGCAAATACAGCGCTGAAGGGAGATTCAATGGCTGAATTGACACAGCCACACACAAAAGCTCAAAGCTGAACTGACCACTAACAATTATGAATGCAGTGGTAACAATAAATAGAGAAGCCATAAAAAAAAAGAAATCACTTCATAAAATGATTAAAAACAGAGGATCCAGTTAAAGAAAAGGGCCGTGATGCACATACAAAAAAAGGATATCAGAAAAGCCAAGAGATGAAAAGGAATATTGCAATAGAGGCAAAGTAAAGGACAGAAAGGTTCTTTCAGTACTACAGTAGCAAGTGAAATGTACAAAGTACCTGGAGCAATAATGGGAAATGCTTGGACAATGAAAGGGAAATGGCCTTTGTATTAAATGAATACTTCACTCAGGTGTTCACTAAGGAAGAAGGCAGCACTGTGCCCCAGGCAGCGGAAGCACAACAGTCTTTAATAAATAGTATTAACATAGAAGAGGCAGAAGTGTCTCAGGTTCTAGAAGGCCTCAAGATTAATACATCTCCAGGGCCTCATAGTATCATACTAGTTGTACTCAAGACAAAAGTTACTCATAAGCTTAAATTAGACAGTAGTAGTACCCATGGACTGGGGAATGTCTCATGCAGTGCTCACCCATAAAAAAAGGTAACAAAATGGATCCAGTTAATGACAGATTAATAAACCTGACATCTGTTACATGTAAAGTTATGGAAGCACTTATCAGGTCTGAGATAAATTACAACTTATATAGAAGAGGCAGGGGACAGTCAACATGGATTTAGAAAAGATAGGTCTGGCTTAATTACATTTGTTGTTGAAAAAGCAACAACCTTAATGGGTACATTAGATCTGTACTTGGCCAACCAATCTTATCATTTCTGGACATAAACTTAGCTATGTAAGAACATTATATAATACTTCAAACTTTAAAAACATTTTCTCACTCATAACTTGGTATACTAAACAGTTTTTTTTATTTAATTGGTTGTAAGTTGATATTACACAAATCATTATTCTTTCTACATTTTATTCACAGATATCTGTAGCATCTTTCCTAAATATGACTTACTGTTGGAGCCTCATCAGCTGTAAAATCAGAAAAATCCACAGACAAAATAAAAAAGCCATTAGCATACTTTCAGAAATATTTATGAGTTTAATCCCCTTACAGGCAGGATCACAGCTGAAACACTGGATTGAAACCTGCTATATTTTATGTTGCTGTGGATGCGTATTGAAAAATGATTGCGTATTTTTGTAAATCTGCTGTTTAACCAAATGTTTAACCCTGTATTTGAGAAAGCCTTCTTTGAACAGCAAGGCATGTGGTAGGATTACAAACACTTATGCCACTTCAGAATAATATATAGGTTTGTAAAAGCACAGAAGAAAACCTTAAGGGAACAGAGCATAGCATCAGCAATGAAACAGAGTGGTTTTCAATTTCAGCTTGTGTTTTCAGGTAAACAATGAAACTATTTCAATAAAATCTGATAATCCGCCCTGCCCTTTGAGGAATGCCTTTCTTTATTTCTTTTTAAGGGTCTTTTTACATTTGTATTTTTACGGTTTGACCATAGTCACCGACAAAGAGAATCAGAAGTACGGGTTGGAAGTAAAATCTGGACATTCCTGGCCTTGTTTGTATGCACGAGTTTCTGTGTTTTCACGGACAGGAGAGCATACTTCGTTAAATGAGGCCCTCTAGTGACAGGCCGTGGAAGCACGGCGTGTAGTTACTGTTTTGGATGAGGATGAAAATGGCGTCCATCCAATTTGTCTTCAGTCATCTCTTATTAGCATATCGAACTGTGTCAAGTCACACACAGTGTACTTGCCAGGCTGTAATTCCTTATTTTTAGGCCAATTTAGAGCTGCCTGGTCTCAGTGGAGACTGCTTTGGTATAATATGAAGGCAAAATGCAGAGTTTAATAATATGCAACAAAATGAAAGTACTTAACCAAGCTCAGTCATTGACACAAAAGTAGACCAAAATAGGATTTTGTCACAAAATTAGGTCATGCATCAATGTTCTGATTTTCTACATATTGTATGCGGTATCTGCTGTAATATGCTATATGTATTGTGTATATTCTCACTGAAATCAAATGAAAGAAAATGCCCACGCAAAAAAACTAAATAAATTCTTCATGGATTTTTTATTCTTATAATGGAAATTTTCTAAATATTTTTTCCAAGTTGTTTACAGACCCAACATGGATATGGTGTTCTGTTTCAACATGTGTTGTTCTTGAATTACAGTGCTCTAAAAAAGGATTCAGACCCTTTCTAACTGCGGTGTTCCATTTTGTGAAATGACAAACTGCTGCATACACATTTTTAAATTAAAAGAAAAAACTGTTTTATTCAAAACTTTAAGGCTCTGACTGAAGGCTTCTAAGGATAAGATTAGTTACAGTAAATGTCAGCAAAAAAAACTAAAAAGAAAAAATGAATGCATTGGATTGCATTTGTATTCCAGCCCTGTGATCTCAATATTTCAGCGGAAAGAGCTTTGGAAGCAATTACAACAGCAAGGCTACTCAGATGAGTGTCTACCAGCATTGCACACAGGCCTGTTTCAGATTTCGCCCATTCATCTTGGCATGTTTGTCCACGTTCTCTAGAGTTGCTTGGGGGTCATTTAGGGACAGCAATTTTCAATTCTTTCCACAGACACTCAATGGGATTCAAGTCAGGACTTTGAATGGGCCACTCAAGGTCATTTGCTCTGGCCTTGAGCTGAAAGACTGCACTGGTTTTAAGTCTTTAGCAGACTGAAACAGTTTTTCATTTCCTATATGCCTGCACTTTGCTACTACTGTAAACATCCATTTTTCCTTCAGCCCTACCAAGCTTAAGGAGAGGTCGGCTGTGGAGAAGCATCATCAAGGCATGATATTTTTCCTTTTTGTCCTATTCTGTGTTGTTCAATTACTTTAACCCAGACTTACTTTGAAAGCTCTTCGGTCTTCAGTCTTGTTGTTGCCTCTTTGCTTAAAATTCACTAGCTGACAAAACAACCTCACAGAGAATGGTATTTTTATTCAGGAATTATGAGAACTACTGTTATTACACACAGACAGAGGCCACTCAATGAATTGCATGGCTCATTAAGATTATATTGTGCATCTTAATTAATTTAGATTTTCCACAGTAAAGGGTTTGAATATTTATGCAATCATGAAGAATCCATTTCCTCTCATATTATTAATCTATTTACTTATTTCTTTTGTATTTTGCTTTGAATGTGTGGAGTAGGTTGTGTATATAACAAATATTAATTGCTACTTCAAAGTGCTATGACTGCAAGGTTTAAAGTAACAAAACCTGGGTCTGAATACTCATGCACAGCACTGTATGTATAATGTACTATCATTTAGTACCTCCAAACAACTTCACCAACGGGTCCTACCAACAAGATTAATTTCCCAAATATGTGAGCTTTAGTGCTATTTGACTGGATTTTAATGTGAGCAAATAAAATTGCATATATACTGTAGCGTTTTGTTAAAAGACTTTCATCAGCCTTTTTCATGTGCTTACCATTTTAAATAAATGCTTAAATGTAAGCTAAATATAAGAGTAAACCATGCAGATAATATATGGAGAAAGTCCAGTATGTCAGAAATACATATTCGGCCCTGAAGCCCAAGGATGTACTGTACAGTATCTGGCCACTCTGCTGTGGGTGTGAGCTATTATATAGACATTTAATTCTTATCTTACGAGCACAGTACTAAAAAAATGTGTAAGCGATCTGTTTTTGTGATTTAGAAAAAAATGTGACAAACGTTCATTTGAAGCACGCGCTCTTTGTGAATCTTTCTCTTTTCCTTAGTGCATATGTAAATAAATAAAATGATTGTTCAAAGCAAAACGTTTCATTGCAGTTGATCTGCAACAAAACACTTCCTTATTTGAACTCACGGGGGTACTGTTGCATGTTTTTTCATCGTCCCTTTAACCTGAAGCCAGGTAAGTTCTGGAGTGAAAGGCTTGATGATATCTGCATAGTCACACAACCTCCTAGAAATACAAATGGGTCAAAAACAGGTGTACAGAAGTATTAGAGGTGGGAATTGTATCCAACATTTTTCTCCACACTAAATATTTGGATTGTCAAAAAAAACGGCATTTCAGGAATTGTTAGAGAAAACATGGGTTTTCGACAAAACCAATACAACAGACCATTTTGTAGTCAACATCAGACGGTTCAGAAACAAACAACACAAAACACGTGAAAAGGGCAACAGACATGAAATGCGTTTTCACAGGAGCAGGTAAGGATCACACAGAAACCAGATGAACCGCGACCATGCAGCCCGGAGACCAGGCCCAGAGCTCTCGCGTAGTTTGGAGCCCGGGTGGGTGGGGACAGTGAAGCAAGCTTGCCTGAATTTCGCACAACAGACGAGATGAAAGCGGTTATATCGGAGCAATAAGCACGTACGAAAGACCAAAAAAAAAACCCCAACCTGGGAAAAAACCGAAGCAAGAAAGCCAATTTTTTTTTATTTTGTTCACACGCACTACTGCTCCGTACCCTGCAGGAGTGGTCGTTAGATGCGGGTTGTAGAAACGCTGGGAAAAGTAACGTTTTGTATTGCTGCAATTATCGCCTGCTTGAAGAAAATGCTGTAACAATTCAGCTGCAGTGTGATAAGGGGGAGATCCTGTAATAGTGAAATACTAGGTAAGAACAGCTCGTCTGCGCTTTGCCTACATACAAACGTGCTTTGTCTTGTACTGTTTTGCTATGTCGGTAAGTTTTCGCACGCTTTTTTTAGCAGGTTTTAAGCAGTATTTTGAGAAATAATAACCGAAGGTTAACGTGTTAAGTAGTTGTGACGACGTATCGTTGGTGAGGTAAAGTTGGCTTGACGTTTGATATGTATTTTTTGTTGAACTCTTTTTTTTTGGTTTGCGGTGTGGTTTATATATTTTCAAACTTGCGTCCCTGCAGTTGTTCATATCTGCAGTTTAGGAACTGTGTGTCCATCGTGCTGAAAACAGCGTTTGCAAGAGCTGTGTGAGGCACGGTGCTGCCACATTGCACAGCCGGCTGGCGTCGTCACTTACCGGTGCTTTAAATGCAAATATACATTTACCTCCTCATTGCTTGAAACGGATTGTTTCATTCATGCTGACGAGAGTTATGTTTAATTTGGATGTTTGGTGTAGTTTTTCGTTGCAGAGCTTTGAACCGAGGTGTCAATGATACGTTGTGTCACTGACTTGTTGCTGTTTGGTCGTTTTCTGATTCCTGATGAAGTAGACGTAAATTAATACTGCGGCGTGATGTCGGTAAGGCTTATATAGCCTGCTGAAGATTGCATTTTATCTCTATAGTACCTGTTCATTTTATTTATCGTGAAAAGGGCAGCACCATTCTTTTGGGGTACAAGATTATGGGTCATGTGTCTATAGTTTATAAACTGCTGTTGATTTTGTGATTGCTTTACATCTGATGGATTTGCTTGAAGATACATGGGATCTATTTATGAAATCTGAGCTACCGTAATTAATCTCCCGTTTCTAGACAATTATTAAGTATGACTCCCACAGAATGAAGTTTTCTGTGATCTGTGAAGCAGTGAAGTACTATCTTCTGGCACATTACAGTTTATTAATGAATGGGTCTGAAATGATAGCCCTTCAATCAAATAGTTCAACTTATTTTTACGGTTTGTGTCCAGACAATGCTAGTTGCAGTTGACCTTTACAGGAAAAGTAATATAACAAGTCTTGGAAATGGGCAAAAAAAAGTTTTAAAATAATCCTGAAGGGGGTATTCTTTGTAAAATTCCCCTTTTCGAAGAGGTTTCTAGTTGGAGAGACTTTTGATCTTGGATAGCCAGTGTATGTCTTGACATGGATGGAGCAGATAGTTCCCTATACTGTATGTCAAAGAACATTTTATAAACGCCATTGTGTAAAAAGACAGGTAGGTGATTACCTTGGCTCTTGTGTTCCCTCCTCTTTTTTTAGGAAATTCATAGTTTCCCGATTCTAAATAAATTGATTTGATCCGCGTAAGGTTTAATCAGTGAAATATTTTAGGGACTTAATCCTCCAAGTGAAATGGCATAGAAATTGAGGTTCCCTTGCATGTAGTTCTGTTTTCATCAGCTGTAACTGAGACTCTGAGAGGAGGCAGAATGCTCTGTACTGGAATGCAGGTTCTTGTTTTAATCCAGTTCCAGATTAGCAAAGAGTTTTGTTTGATCAACAGATATTCTAAATGATACTACAGTAGCAAAATGTGAAGCTCAAAGTATAGCAGACACTAGCCCATCCTTATTTGTCCAGATCCTCGCGTGTGAAAGTACCATTAGAAGGCTGTGAGGAAATGTATGTGAACATAACAGATCTCTGTTTTTGTGCTCCTTTTCATCTAATTTTAACTGCGGGGGTTGTATATACGCCTTTACAACTCCATGTTTTGTCTCTGGTGTGTTTAGTTTTAAACATTTTGTTCCTTCTTCCTACCTTGTTGGCATATAACTCAGTTTTCGTTTTCCAGGTGGAACAGAAAGATTGTTTTATAGACGGAACACGTGTTTCCACCCTGTTTCCTGGCTGATCCGTCCCGTCCTGCGCTTTCACGTTCTTGGGGGTCTCCTGGGCCCAGCTGGCTGGGGGCATAATCTGCCCCGCAGTCTGGATCTGATCATAGCAGTTAAACTGAGAAGAGGCAGTCTGCTCCATCAGGCCCGTTTCATCACATCTCGTTTGCAAGCATTCTGATGTTCAGTGTGTCAGGATGGCAGACGGTTCATCGTCGCCGCTCTGACAGTGTAGCCAGAGAGAGGCAGTGTAATAATTAACATTGTAGAAACCTAATTCTATCAAACATTCTATGTTTGTGTATTCAGCTCAGTTTAAGGGTTTTAAAATGGTGTGAAAGGCCCACACTGGCCAGAAAGGAAACATGAAATTCACATACAACTGTAGATTGATTTTTTTTCTGTTTTTCTTTTATTGATCTGCATTGGTAGAGCACTTTAAAGCAGAAATGATAAACATGGTTAATTTAATGTCTACAGGAGGAGAGAAGGAGTGCATTTGTGTTATGTAGTGGAGTATTTTGACCAACTATGTAGAAGTTGGAGCTTAATCTGTTTGGCAGTTATTGGGACATCTGCCCACCACCTGTTTCTCTGTCTTACTAAGCGATACAGAGGAGGAATTATTTCCTTATTTTGTGGGTTGAGATTAGGATAATCATTTCCCCCCTTGATTATCTAAATTGGATCCACTATCATCAATCTTGCTTACCAAATGAAACAGTCTGTCAGTTCAAACATCCGTACAGTGCTTAGTCGAAGGGCTGAGATCAATGCTGTCCTTTCAGAAATACCTGCTCAGCCATTTTTCTGCCAGTACTACAATAAAGATCTTCGAACTGTGGAGTACTATATCGAATAATAAATAAAATAAAACAATATTTAGCTTTGTTGGTAAGTTTATATTTTGCCTAGTATGCATCTTCTAAATTGCTAGTTGGAAATTGTTACACTAGTGCACGAGGATGGCGTTTTTGCCAAAAATAATAAAATGTATATGATATATGTATGTTATGTAATTGTCTAACATTTTTGAATAATAGGAAGTTGTAAAAACTTGGTATAAGGTTTGTATACCATTGCTTGCAAGTAAAAGGATGAATAGAGCCATCTTGAAAATGGCTTCATTTGGGCTTAAATCTAATAAGACTCTAGTGGTGATTTAGGTTTATATACTTTCTGGAAGAAAAGGCATTTGTCTAGTTCACTTGTATGTGTTAGAATGAATGTAACATTTTATTACCAGATTTGGACATTTAATGTATTGTGCTTAGTAAGTTGACCTCTTCTCATTTGCAAGCTTTGTGATCTTATATACATTGTGTGATCAGCTGTATTTGGAACTGAAGTTGCTTCCTCTTGCATGTGAGAAGATCTTCTCAGTAGATCAGGTCCGGTTTCAGGCTGGGTGAAAAGAGAAAATCAAAAAGCAAATCAGTACACAGTCTGATGCTGTCCAGGTATTTTAAATCAGTGACAAGAATTCATTACTATTTCCAGGGAAGGAGAAAAATATATGCAAAACTTATAACTATTTCATTAAGATATTGACTGTATTGCTAAAACAAATCACAAGAGAACTGTTGAAAAAAACGATAGGGAGAAAAACAATCTATTCAGATCAAATCACAAAAAGCTCAATAGATGATGTTTGCAGATTATCCGTATTAGGTTATACATTAGAAGCAACGGCCACTGGAGGCTGTTAAGGCGTCTATTTATAACTTCACACCACGGGTGGTGATTAGTAAATAGGATTATTGGTGGTGGTGAAGTCCACATTCTCACCCGGGGTGTAATTAGTCATGTTTGGGGCTTCCACACAGTCGGTGGTCGAGAGGTGGATAGCAGTCTGGGGAGGAGTGCTTTGGTTATAAAACTAACAAGATCTCTGCAATAAAGCCTCCTACACGTGTAACTCCTGTACATCATGTGTTTTTAATGTGCTCAGATCTCCGTGATGGGTTCTAGCTCAGGTGGTGGGGGAAGTCCAGGGTGGGTTAAAGCCATCTTTGTCATCCCTTGTGAGTCCTCTTATATTGCAATGTGTTCAACTGATCTAGGATCCTCCCTTGCTCTTTTTGTTTCCAACAGCCACCTACAGCCTTTTCCAGTATGGTCACATTAAACTGGGTGTACTTTTACGGTGCCTGAGCTTGGCTAAGGTGCCTGTGCTCTGAAGTTACCATCTGTGGGATTATGGCCAAACGCCTCTACGTCTGTGGTTACTCTTTAAAATGAGCAGCAACGTGCATCTAAAAACATTGCTGTTTTGTTAACAGCATTTCTGTTTCTTTTAATTGCTTATTTTTTAGATAATCCTGCTGCAGTGGCCTTGAAGTGAAGCAAGGCTTTAAAGATCTGCCCGCGAAATTCTGAAACTGGATTAGCTGTCTAACGTTTGTCAGTATTGTTTATATGTACAGTGATGTGAAACAGAAATTACATCCTCTTAAGATTCTGTGGTTTTATATTTTAAGACGTTCACTATCTGACCTTAACCAAGTCCTCACAACAGATAAATCTAACCTCATGTGACGGATAACACACACAAATTTTGCTTTATCATTATTTATTGAACAAAGAAATCAGCCAATATTCAGTAGTGTTATGGGAAAAAGTAAGTGCGCCGCATGATTCATAACGTGTAACCCCCTTTAGCAACATATCGTCTGGTAGGAATTCTGCCCAAGTATTCTGCACAGTACTTTAAG